ATAGAGTACCATACCAGAGGAATGTCTCTGTTTCATTGACTATGCAAAGGCATTTGATTGTGTGGATCACAACAAACTGTGGCTGACTGAGGAAAAACCGGAATCCCAGAACACTTCATTGTGCTTATGCAAAACCTATACTTGGGCCAGGAGGCAGTAGTCAGAACAGAGCAAGGGAACACTGCATGGCTCAAAATTGGTAAGGTTGTGAGTCAAGGATGTGTCCTATCTCCGTATCTTTCAATATATATGCAGAACAAATTATCTGGAAGGCTGAGCTCTATGAGGAGAAATGTGGCATCAGGCTTGGAGGAAGATTCATCAACAATTTTCGTTACGCAGATGACCCAACCCTCCTTGCTGAAACTGAGGAGGACCTGAAGCGCTTGCTGCAGAGGGTCAAGGTCTGCAGCCTTCAATATGGATTGAAGCTCAACATCAAGAAAACAAAGATTCTCACCACTGGGCCAATTGGCAGCATCATGATGGATGATGAAGAGATTGAAATTGTTGACAGCTTCAGTTTGTTTGGCTCTATAGTTAACACTCTTGGTACCAGCAGCCAGGAAATTAAAAGATGAATTGCATTGGAAAGTGTGCTGTCAGGGGGCTCTCCAAAGTACTGAAGAGCAACGTCAGTCTGGAGACTAAGGTGTGCCAGATATAAGCCATGGTCTTTCCAATTACTTGCTATTTATCAGAGCTGGACAATGACTAGGGATGATAGAAGGAGAGTTGATGTCTTTGAACTTTCATGCTGGAGATGAGTATTGAATATACCATGGACTGCTAAGAGAACAAACAAGTTTGTCCTGAAGAGGGTGAAGTCACGCTGCTACTTGGAGGCAAGGATTCTGAAGCTCCATCTGACATACTTTGGACATATTGCAAGGCAGGATCAGTCCTTGAAGATGGATGTCATGCTTGGGAGGGTGGAGTGACAGTGCAGAAGAGGAACTCTCGATGAGGTGGACTGATTCCATCACTGGGGTAATGGGGATAGGCGTGTCAGTCAATTGGCAAGGGATAGAGCAGGGTTTAGGACTGCTGTACACAGGGTCACTATGAGTCGCAGGCAACTCGATGGCACATAACAGCAGCATTGTTGTTACACAGGAAAGCAATTGACTTTTGTGTTACCTTTGTTATAATCACTTATTAGTTCCATTTTGTCTGGCATCTTAAAAATTCTTTAGGATTCTTTTTTTACATAAACAATCATCATCTGCCAAGTTTTATTTTTTTTTCCTTCCCAATCTTTTTGTCTTATTGCACTAGCCAGGATTTCCAATACAATGTTAAACTGTTGTTGTTAGGTGACATTGAGTACAACTCATAGCGACCCTATGAAAAAAATATAAATCCTGTCCTATCCTGTGCCATCCTCATCATCTCTGATATACTTGAGCCCACTTCTGTCAATTCACTTCATTGAGGGTCTTTCCTTCACTGACCTTTCCAAGAATGCAGTCCGTTGTTAAGGAACAGCCCCTTCTGACAATCTGCTCAAATAGGTGAGACAAAGCTTCACCATCTTTACCTCCGAAGAGCACTCTGTTCTTTTGGCAGTCCGAGGGAGAAAGACCAGGAATAGTGTAAAAGGTCATCCTTGTTCTGGTGCATAGTTCATAGAGAGCTGTGCTAACTCAAAGGTTGTGTCTCTCTAGGGTGTCAAATCCATCAGCTCTGAGGAAGAAAGTTGGGCAATCTCCTCTAGTGAAATTTATAGCTTTAGAAAACCATGGGAACAGGGTCAGCCTGAAGGTGGTTTTGACACTCTAGCAGTGAATATTGTGTGAGTTTTTGTTTTATTCCCAATCTTGAAAAGGCATTCAATCCAGTTTTCCCCACTCAGAATAATTTTAATTAAAGGTTTTCTATAGTTATTAAGTTGAAAACATTCTTTTGTCTTCCTGGTTTGATGACTTAACAAGAATGGTTTATAGACTTTGTCAATGTTTTTTATTAATTTACTGATATCATTTTTCCTCTAGCCTGCTTTGTAATAGAATAATTTTTAAAATATTAAACCAGCTTGCATATTTGAATTTATACTGGTGTGTCATTATTTCCACCTATTGCTGAATTCAAGATATTTGTACCTTTAGTCTATGGCCAATGGTCTGTAGTTTTCCTGTCTTATCTACTGTTGGAATTACAGTAATTCTAGTTTCATAGGCTAAGTGTCCCCTAAGCTACACATTTCAAGAAGAGACTTAATTCTTCCTTAAATGTTTGGTAGAATTCACCAACAACATGAGGAACTACTGAGTTTTTTTTAAAAAATATAGAATTATTGTTGTTATTGAGATCATACAATAAAACTGTATGGGGCTTTGCTATCTGGACCCTTATTATTACTATTATTTATAGATAAAAGCTTATTCTGATTCTCCTTGTATGAGTTTGGTAGTTTGTCTATCAAAGAATTGATCTATTTCACTTAACAAAATTCATGGGCAGGGAGGGAATGCAGGCTCTAAGGCCTCCTAGATGATGACAGTAGTCCAGGAACCAAGATAGAAAACTAAGGGACTAAATGTGCATTTTTCCTGGGAAAATGTCTTTATTATTTTATCTCACAAAGACGTTGAAACCCTTGGAATTTAAAAACCATTTTAGGACTGTCTAGCTACTTCTCAACATCCTGTGTCCATTCTAAGAGTCCTCCCCACTCTAGAAATGTAAAAGAAAGCTTCTCAAGGGCCTTGGTTAGGAAAGAAACTATAAAAAAAAATTATTTCTAGGCCTTCAGAAAAGGGCTTGAAGTCTATTGTAAAAATATTATCTATTACAGAAAGAATTTAAACTCAAAACGCACTGCTGTTGAGTCAGAAATGACTCACAGCTGACTCTCCACTGAGTTTTCAGGAGGCTGTAAACGGCATAGGTGGCGACTGTCATCACCTTCCTCCCACAGAGCTACAGATGATTTGAACTGCCAGAGAGATACTGCCTTTGGGTTAGTAGTGTAACTCCCTATGGACAAGGCCACCAGAGCTCCCTGCAGAAAGAATTAAAAAAGATCATCAATTTTATCAGTCATTTGCTGAGCTGCAGCTATAATCCTGAACCCAAAGAATAAAATTCATGACCTATCTTTAAATTCCTGAAGTATAGCTAGGAGAAAGATCTAAGAGTATTAACAGAAGCTTATCAGGGTACATACAGGAAGCTCAAAATAGGTGTCAACAATACCACCAGGGAAAGAGATCAGAATTCATCAAGGAAATGACTAGAGCTGATACTTAAAAGAAGGTGTTTGATGCCATGTCTGTACAGAGACAGGCAAGTAATTCTAGGTCAAACAAACTAGTTCCTTAAAGAAATTTAAAGAATCATGGTACTTTCTTATTTGCAGCACAGAGGACTGCGGGCTATAGAGAAACCAGACTGGAAAGGAAGACAGAGACTATCAGACCATATAAGATTACAACTCATGTCTTAAGAGGCAGTGCTGTGGCCTAGTCTTGCAGGAAGCTGTGTGCTAACCCAAAAGCTGTGCCTCTCTTATAGTTCAAATATACTAGCAGCTCTGAGAGAAAGATGAGCAGTCCCCTGTGCAATTTACAGCCTCAGGAACCCAGCGGAGGGTCAGATCTGAGTCGGTTCCAACTGGACAGCAATGAGTTGAGTTTTGGAATTCTGCTAGCGGCCAGGAGCATAAATTTGAAGAGTGGCAGATTATAAGTAAAAGCAAGTTAGGAGACTGCTACAGTAAATCAGCCTAGAAATAATGAGAGCTTGTAGGTTATAGTAGTGTGGGTTTACTCTGCCCCTATGAAAGTCCCTTCAAAAGATCCTGATACATTCTCAACAGAAACAAAAGATCTTTTAAAGAGAGAACTGGAGACATGGAAAGGAAGTAAAACCTTAAAGTTCTCCACAAAGCAGTTATTCCACTTTCAGTATTACTTTCCTGATTCTGCATTAATTTTGCCACCCATGTCCTGATCCTCCACAGGTATAGTCCCTCTTCTCCCAAACAAGCGATCAGATGTATGACAGAGGTTTCTCTTGTCAGAGTTTCTTCACAAGCCACCCTTCATCAAGTTTCCTTGTCTGGCCCGAGTCTCACAGGTAAAGACCCTAACAGAAATAGGCAGTGAATTCCAATAATGATCATGTCATGATTGGAACTGAGACTCACAGGGTATATAGCTATAGTCAGCTACTCTGATCTTCTTGAGTGAGCCCCATTCTTGTCCATTATGAAGTAATATTACGACCCACATGTGGCCAAATGCCTGGGGTCTCCATGAAAATGGCAGGTGCTCTGAGGAGACATGAAGTCTCAGCAAAAGAAGGCTGAGGATCAAGAAGACAGTTAAAAACAAAACTCAGACACTGAAGAGGGAACAAGCCTAATTAAGTCAGAGCTACTTTGAGGTGACGGTATCTGCTCACTCCTCAGTTAAATGTTATCAAACACAAGGAAGGGAAAAAAATACCAATAACCAACCAAGTGTTTATTATCAAAAACAACTGTTACACACATACTCAGTGCCTCCAATCCCATCCCTGAGGATAACCATGAAACTCCTTGGGGTTGCTGGAATAACTCTTAAGAGGGAAATGGTTGCCTGATTCACAATGTCTTGGTTGGGTGAGAGGAAAAGGCTCTTTTAGGGGACAGTAACAGGTCACCCCTGGCCTCAAGATTCCTAAAGATGGGAATGAACAGGGGTTCAGTGAGGATGTTAATCACTATCCAGTATGGATGATTAAACCTTATAATAAAACCTTAACCAAGAATACATGCATCTATGATGTCCCCCTTATAGAATCCAGACTCCTCAGGATTCCCCCCAAGACACAATATGGCAGCAAAGTGTTCTTAATGAGCAGAATGATTCTATCCTGGGCTTAGAGTGGGAGCATGCTGCTCTCAGCACCACTCACAGAGGCATCCACTGACGAGGTCTGCCCGACAGGGATGCTGTTACCAGCATGGCTCAAATCTTGGGGCCTGAGGTAGAAATGGTCAAGATCTGTAGCCTTCACATCATTTGAACTTCCAGCTCCTAAGCTATTCCCTGAAACTTTCCCATGATACTCCCTGAGGGTGGCTCAGTGGAAGGGGGAGGCTCTCCTAGGGCTTCAGATAGCACATAGTACACAATCTCTTGTGGGCTTTGGACACTGGTCTGATTCACCACATGGATGACAGGGCTGGGGGTGTCCTGAGGCACTGAAAGGGCTGTCCCCTCACTCCTCCTAGCCTCCTCTTCTTCTTTAGGTCCTGGTTCCTGGGGCACTGTTTCTAAAAGAATGCCCTGCAGGCCGCTTTCATTCAGTGAACCTTCCAGGTCTGTTCCCTCTTGTGGCTGCTGTAGCAACTGCTGTGTTAGCTCTACACTCTCGTAGCGAACCAGCTGCAGCCGCATGTAGCCATCTTCATGCTCCTGGTACCTGGTGGAGGAGGAGCATAAAGGGCAGCAATCATGGGTAAGCCCAGAAACTTACAAGGTAAGGGACAAAGGTGAGGGTTGGAAGAAGTCTTGGGATTCTAAGGGAGGGAAGCTGAAGACAAAAAAAGGTTTTACTCAGTATGTAGAAGAAAAGTGATTAATCAAAACAGAAGAGTTTATGTTAAAGTTTAACCCAAAGTGAGACAAAATACGTGTTACAAGAGTGAGTAAGCATGTCAAAGGAGGACTTATGAAAGGCCATGGAGCTAGGTTCCATCTGTACTGCAAGTTCTGGCTGTATGGCTTTTAGCATCATTCCTTTTCCACGCCTAACGAGTAAATAGCCATCTTTGCCCCACTTCTACTCTCATGGTTGAGTCTAAATGGAGATGCTGGACACTAAAGCTTCATGCCCCATGAAATTTAAAGTCTTTGACTTGTTGAAGAGTTCTGGGAGAAACTGTGTGTGAACCTGGGAGGGGGACTGAGTTACATACCGGAAGCGGGGATGCCCTGAGGGCCACCTGAATTGGTGCTTCTTTCGAAGATGCACGGTGAGGTTGTTGCCCCGTGTAAAGCACTTGTCACATACGTGGCATTTGTATCTTGGCTCTGAGTCTCCCTTATGGGAAGAGGAGGGAAAGGTAAGGCTGGTACTTTACCCTAGGTTCCTCCACATTTCTTCTAGCCCTTGCCCTTCACCTAGTCCCACTCACTTCATGAACTTTGCGGAAATGGGACTTGATAGAGCAGAGGGATCGGGCAGTGAAGCTGCAGTTCTCAAAATCACACCTGTAGGCCGGCTCTTTACTGTGCGTATCTAGGTGTTTCCGGAGGTCAATCAGGTTCTTGCAGCTGCCAGAAGAGGACGGGAGGTTGAAGGGCATGGGGAACCTTGGAACACAAGATGCTTCCTGGTTTCTAGTTCTCCTTACCTGTAGTCACAATAGTCACATTTAAAGGGCCGGTCCTCACTGTGGCGAAAGCGCATATGGTTGCGAAGTGAAGAAGGCAGCGGGCAGGTCATATCACATAGAGGGCACTTATAGTGATTCACTGAGGAGCAGAGAGGAAGCTGTGCTTGGAAAGCTAGTGGAACCACAGAAGGTGGGCAGGGAAGGTAGGGTGGGAAGACACTCACCATGGTTACGCATATGGTCCCGCAAGAGCCGCTCTGTGGCAAATCTCTTAGAGCAATGAGAACACTGGAAGAGTTGCTCTGGGGTAGGGCAGGAAGAAGAAGGGAGAGTTGTGAGGGGTGGTGGAGAGGCCTACAGAGAAAAGAGCTAGGGAGAGGGCAAACCTCCCAGGCAGAAGGGAACCTCCAAGCAGAAAAAAAGGGAGTTTAAAAAGTTACAGATGAACACAGAATTACAGGAAAAGGCGTGGGACTTGGAGCAAAGAAACTGAGTAAGCATTTCCACCACAGCACTTACTAGCTGGGTAATCTCAAAGAAGTGACTTGAACTCTCTGAGCCTGTTTACTCATCCGCAAGAATGGAAGTAAAAACTTATCTTATGTGACTGCTGTTAAGGATTAACTGAGATAATATGGCACAAAGTAGGTCAAAAATGTTCAGTGAAATCTGAATCAGTAGAGACTGTGAAAGGTCTGAGAGCCCTAAAAGCAGATGCAGCTAAAGGGTCACCTCCACTAGGAATATGTTTCGCACCCCCACCCCAAGCAGGACATCTTGTACCCTCCTTCTTTTTTTTTTTTTGGTACCCTCCTTCTTGATTACTTACGATCCAGTGAAGTCTGCCGACGGATGTGATCTAAGAACTTTGTATTGTTGGCAAACATGCCTCCACACGTAGGACAGGCAACCACTTTCTCCTGGGTATGGCTGCGGAGATGCTCTCGGAGCTTACAGCGGTCCTTGAAGGTACATGTACACTCTGGAAGGAAGGTTAAGTTTCCAATACAAAGCCCAGTGTAGGCTCTGGCAATTGTCCACAGTTAGCAACCAACTGTTATTCAGAATAAGTCCCACTTCTGGCTGCCAACACCCCCAGGGTTTCCTCCAGAGACCAGAAGTTAAAGAGTGGACTTACCTTTCCAGCCACACAGCACCACATGGTTGTCCTTACCAACAGCCTGGTACTCACAGCACAGACTGTGCGCTTCCACATGCCGATAGAACCACTCAGGGTTGTCGAAGGAGCTCTGTACCAGGAAAACTTGGGGTAAGGATGGAAGACAGCTGGAGGGACTCTTACTCCTATGAACCTAAAGGGGTTTCTCAGCTCTCTCCTAAATTTACTTTGTGGGAATGAGACTGTTTGAGAAAGTGGCTACAAAGAAAGCAAGCATCTCTGAAGGTGTCTTCAGTTAGGATCCCCAAGTTCGACCCCTATTCCTCAAACTGCATGCTGACCTCACAGTGCTCCCACAGACACAGGAAGTGGTCAGGGATGTTAGGGATAACATTCCGGCTCTGGAAGTCCAGGATGCAGGGGTTGAGGTCAGCCTGACTCTGCAAGGCCTGCAGCCCCCACTGTTTCAGCTTGGTGTGGTAGCAGTGGAAGTAGACATGCCGGATGAGGTCAGCAGAACTGTCCAGGGAACAAAAGCCACACTCCTGCCACAAGCAGGAGAATTCTTCCCCTGCAGAGAAAGGTTGAGAAGGATGAGTCTGACACTTGCCAAGGCTCAAGTTTTCTTTCCACCTGTGGCACTCAGCAGTCAGACAGGAGGCCTGACTAACCAAATTACCACAACTTCATTCAGCAAATGCAACTATTTAATGGGCCAGGTACCTGGGCTATAATAATGAGCAGAAAGAGTACCATTTCTTGCCCTCATATAGCTTTCAGTCAGGGATAAAGGCTAATCAAATAATATTTATATATATAATAGTGAAAAGAAGCAGCGGAGTACATATTAAGGTATTAAAAGCAATAATCTGATCATACACACACTCATTCAGACAGATAGATCTAAAATAATGTTCACTGAAGTTACAAACTGTCCCTGTACAAGTAGTTGTAAACTAGGTAAAGTGTGTGATCTCACCAGCATTAACAGTATATGCAAACGTCCAGTGGCAGAAACTTTAGTCAGAAGTTTCTGTTTCTCGTTTTCCCTAAGATATTGCCTTCCAAAGCAGGGTACTTCCCACTCCTCCTTGTCAAATTATAAGTTCTCCTTTCATTTGTATTCTGCTCAAGCAGTATCCTTCTCCTACTACCATGGTCTCAGTGTTTCACAGGAATTTACTTGTTTTTAAAAGTACTTTTAAAAAACATAATCATTCTCTAATTTATCTTTGATATGTCATTTGACTTTGGAAATGGTTATGATTCATATTCACTAAACTTAAAAGTGAAGGAGGGGGAATAAGAACTACACTTATACCTTCCACAGAATAGGGTTCTTTCTCTGGTATGTGACCTATCAGTGGGTGGAGAAAACAATTTAGTGGACTAAAAACCATTTTCAAGATAAATAAATACAGAGAACAGAATAAAAATTTCAGATAGTAGGTTAACAATATTGCTTCAAGAAGTTTTGTGGTTTTTTTTTTAAAAGGTTGTTTTTCCCCCCTCTTACTTTTGTGTGCTGAGTCATAATGTAATATGTATTCTGAACCAGAGTATTAAAAAAAACCCACAAAACTGGGGACCACCACACAGTCAAAATAGCAGGCTGCTATCAGCTTTTAAGGAATGATCTTGTTTTGCGGTTTTTAAAAATAAAATTTTATTTATGTATATACATGCAGAAATAAGTAACAATTAATGTTCATTAAAGTCCTACTATTATTAATTACCTATTCAGAGTAGGATGGCAGATTCATCCCTATATCCTTATAAGTGAGTTTTCTACAAGTCTATAATGTTTCTTATAAACAACAAAACCCCTACAATTAGGAAATAAAGCCCTACCATTATCCTACAGCTCTGGAAAGGAAGCCAGCTTTTCCCCTTTCCTGCTTCCTGCCCCCTTACCAAGAGGGTCCTCTTCATCCTCCTCGGAGCCATGCAGGTGCTGCTGCAGGTGCTGAGTGACATGCTCACAGAACTCCTCCATGGCTGAGCACACAAAGGAACAGGATCCCCACTCACACTGTAGCCCCAGGTTCTCCTTACGGGGAACTTTTCCAGGGGGTGGCATGGCCTTCATCCTAGAAAAAGAGGAAGAGAAGCACAGCTGCAAGGATTCTACTTGAGTCCTGCTGGGTGTAAACAGCTGGAAAGGCAGACTGACTGAAAAAACAGGCATCTTTCCGGTGACCCATAAGAACACTGTGCTTTTTCTAGAAGGATAGAGTAGCAGTTTCTCAAACCCTTGGAAGTGTGTGGCATCCCTGAGCGGGGAGACCAGATTCTAACATTATTAAGCATGTGCCAGGTCCTGGGCTAATAAGCATATTAACACATTTTCTCATTAAGCTTCCAAGCAACTTCACCAAGAAGGAATTATTCCTATGGGAGAGAGTACAGTGCCAATGTTCGAAGAAGTGGATTTAGGAAAGAACAAGGGTTCAAATCCGCCCATCAACAAATAAATGGCTAGAGAAGCTGTGGTATATTCGCACAATGGAATACTATGCTGCATTAAAAAACAAGGAACTCATGAAATATTACTCAAAAT